AAAAAAAAAAAAGAAAGAAAAAGAAAAAAAAAAAAGAGTCCTTCCTCCTCCTCCTTGCTTCTAACCTGTTGACTCCTACTATGTGCTAAAGTTCTAATTTACGACCACAACTCACAGAAGATGCTAGACCTACGATTACAGTTTCATGATAGCAAAAAGGATGCAGGTAAAGAAATGCATAGATATTTCAAATAGTTGGAAATTGTTCCTTAGGAATTTACGGTTTGAATTATGTTCTCCCAAAAATATGTATTGTAAATCTTAACCTCTATGTCTGCTATAATCCCACTTGGAAATGGGTTGTATTTATTATGTTAATGAGATAGGGACTATATAGGGTGTATCTTGTCAATATCTCTCTTTAAAAAATGATTATGAATTAGGTCGAGGTTTATATTTCAGATAATCAATTTTGTGTTCAACAACTTAAACTACTTTTCAAATCATCCAATAGTCTGCCCTCCACCCCCATAACCTTGACTTCTCTTCTCTCTAGAGTGGAATACTATCTTCCCCTTCACCCATGTTAACACCTGTCTAACCTCCAGTCTAATGCTTCACCTTCTGGGGTAGGCTGGGCTGTCAAGGGAAACAAAAGCAGTGACGCTCATATATGTATTTCTTAAATATCTTATATAGCTTTGTATCAAGAAATAATCTTAAAGAATGGAACCCAGTTCAACTGGGTCTAGGGGTCCGATGCTAGCTAGCTAGCCAGAGCCCTCTTCAAACTCAAAGCTAGAGGGCAATGATGACGAAAGGTGAAGTGGGATGCAGGAGGGGAAGAGCAGCAGAAACCAGAGGGAAAGGGAGACAGCGGTCGGTGAGAGATTAGGAAATAATAAGAATCTGCTCCTGTGCCTTCTTCGCTTCGCGCGGCTTGCTGTGCCGGTCCGGTCCGCACCTGGTGGCCATGCCTCGCGAAATAGAAGAGATCAAGGACTTCCTGCTCACAGCCCGGCGAAAGGAAGCAAGTCTGTCAAGATCAAGAAGAACAAGATAACACGAAATTTAAGATGCGGTGCAGCAGGTACCTCTACACCCTGGTCCTCATCCACCAGGAGAAGGCCGAGAAGTTGAAGCGGTCTCTGCCCCCGGGTCTGGCAGTGCAGGAGCTGAAATGAACCCGGCGGCTGATGCGAACTCTAATGAGAACTTTAAATTCTGGTAAAGGGACACCCCCTTTCAGAAGGGTCGGGGGGAGGAGACCAGCCAG